CTACTGAATTTGAAAAACCTTTTTCTCTAGCCTTCCATATTGGGGTTCCCTTATGAACTGTGGAATGCAGAAATGCTTTCTTAATCGTTTCAAGAATGGTACATAACTCATATCATTTCAGATGCTTGGGAGAGAAGTTAATTCATCACCTAGGATGGATGCCTGAGTGCATCCTACCTTCATTTCTGGATGAAGTCCTTAGAAGAGGCAGCTAGTGTTTGGTCTGTATGATAAACCCAAGCCCCTGAGCACTGCACACAGGCTCATCTAGATTTGGCCCATGTTCACTTCTCAGATTCCATCTGACTTCCTCAATCACTACTGGGTTAAAACCATCCTGAGCTGTTTGGAATTCCCCAGGTGCCTCATGCTGTCTCTTACCTCCCTTCACAGTCATTCTTAGCCTTCAGCACCCAGCACAACTGAGTGTTACTTCCTCTAAGCTCTTCCCTGAGAGCTACTGGAAGACCCAGTTTCCATTCCTGCCATGCCCTGGTACACTTTCCCCACCAGCAGGTGATGCAGGCAGGGCAGTGCCTGGTCAGACGGCTCTTGGTAGGCTCCAGTCGTGCTTGTATGACGTCTCTCCTTTGTTACTGCATGTGGGACCTCATATTAAGGATACACAGTTGTCTAATGTAAAGCTTGAGTGCTTAGAGGCTTATAAAAGGCCTGGGAGACAGGACCTATGCATTAAAAACCACTTCCAATAATGCATAATGCTAAAGAACCAGCATAGGGGAATAGGACCTTATATCCGGGGCTCAAACTGAGCCACTCTAAATTTCAAGTTCATCATCTGTTAGACTAGGATAATAATCTTGTATTGCTGTGCTTAAATAGGACACGTACATCTAAAGCTCTGAGCATTCTGTTTGGCCCATGGCTCTCAGAAATGATAACATGGAAGGAAGCAGGTAATGTACCCAGAACCAAGCAAATGTTGCAGTAGAAAGTTCTACAGGGGTTGAGAGGAAGGACTAATTACTGTGGGTTGTGGAGATGCCAGTAGAAGAGGCAGAATGTGAGCTAAGCTCAGAAAGAAAACAGACCTTAGATTAGGAAGTAGGGAGGTACTTCTGGTGAGGCAAAACTAAGATCTGATGTGCCCCAGAGGAGCAGTGTGTGTGCCTTAACTGTAGACTAGTCTCACAACCAAGGTTTGTACATTGATTTATTCATATGTATGCAAACGTTTTTCCACATGCAAGTGGAAGATATTGATAGAGATGCATTTTTCTCATTTTAAAGAATTCTGTCTCTGCTTCATTCTCCCCCTAGCCCAGGTTATCAGCCCAGTGTGTCTAGGCTGCTCTGTCAAAGAACACTTGGCTTTCACTGTTCACTGGAAACAATATAAAGATACGAGCAGCATGTTTGGATTTCTCCTTACCCCGTGGCCAGTTTCTCTTCTCCCCTCTGCTTTATCCCTTCTGTCTTTCCCTTCTCTCCTTTTCCCTTCTATTTTCTCTCTCCCTTCCCTGGCCAGAAAAATATTTCTGTGGCAAGCCAAAGGATGTATTGGTTGTGATATATGCAGCTCCCACAGACAGACTACAAAGGGAACTGTAAAATCTAGAAGCAACTCCAACCCATTTCAAACACTTTAGAAATAAGATGCTTTCTGGTCCACTACCAGGCATCCTAGCACAGGGCTGAGTGCACAGGCTCCTGGGTTGAAATCCTGTTGCTGCTTGCCTGCTGGTTGCCTTTGAGCACAGCATCTGGTATCTTTGTGACTTTGTTGCCTCAGGCTTGAAATAAAAGTAATCTTAGTACCAATTTCCAAGGATTGCACTGAAGATTAAATGAATTCATAGAAAATTTTTATTTTTATTTATTTTTATGTGTATGAGTGTATTGCCTACATGTGTGTAAGTGCACCTGGTTTGTACAATGCCCAGGGAGTTCAGAAGAAGGCGTCGAATTCCCCTGGAACTGGAGTTATGGACAGTTGTTAGCCACCATGTGGGTCCTCTGTAAGAGCAGTCAGTGCTCTTAACCACTAAGGCATCTCTCCAGCCCAGAAAATTATTAAACCAGTACCTAACATCTAATTATAGCTCAATAAAAATGTGTCAAGCTTTTATTGAATAAATGATTTGATATAATGTGTGTGTGTGTGTGTGTGTATGTGTGTGTGTGTGAATTACCACATTATGGAAAATGAGGCACCAAAATGAAGGTTTATGTAGAGTGTTTAATCACCTGACTATCAGAACCAATGTTTTATGCAAGGTGGAGAATCAAGTTTTCATGGTATGTAATATATCATATAATATATATATTCCCATCTGAAAAACCTTTCTTTTGTACTAAGATTTTTTTTCCTTTCCTTCCATGAGTTTGGAAGTTACAAGTTTGTTGTTTTGTTGTGTATTTAACCAAGTATAAAGCTGTCACTGTTTTTTCCTCCTTCCCATTAACACAAGGATGCCAGAACATTCCCACTGGGATTTCTTTGAAATTAAGCAGTTTCATACAGAAAAAAAAAAATCACATCAAAGTTAGTGGCTTCAGCTTTTGAATGTCCACCCATGTTTAGCTCTGGTCTCTTGACAACACTGTGACCCTCCTTAAGAAATAGCAAGGAGAGTAAGTTTTACTATTGTGGAAAATATAGACTGTTGATGCTGAATAGGGCCTCAAAGATTGTCTAAACTAGTGCTTTTCAAAGTTTTAACAAAGCCCAGCAATAAAAAATGTACCTTGGGGCATGAAGAGATGGTTCAGTGGTAAAAAGCACATACTGCTGCTCTTCCAGAGGACCCAAGATAGGTTTCTGGGACCCACATTCATAACCACCTATGACTCCAGCTCCAAGGGATCCAACACCTCTGGCCTCTTCAGACACTACACTCATGGGCACATACACCCTCCCATATATACATAATTAAAATAATAAAAATAAATCTTTAAAAGAGTATACTTTGTTCTATAAGCAATATACATCTAAATATAGAAAATTAAATAGAAGTTCAATGAAACAATAATTTTTTCAGTATGTGTAGTACACTTAGAGTTATTTTATTCTACCCTTTCATTAAAAAAAAAACTGGTCTGGACCCATTAAATTGATTGCATACTCACCAAGAGGTTCTGTGTCACAACTGAAAAATCCAGATGTAGCCTAAAGTCATTGATTTACATCTGGAGAAGCCAGACCCCTACACCATTGTTTGGATCTCCAGAAATTGAACAGTAAGTGTATTAAGGACACAGTTAGGGGCTGGAGACATGGATCGGTGGCTAAGAATACTGGCTGCTCTTGCAGAAGAGCTGGATTCTTTCCAGCATCTACATGGCAGCTAACAACTGCCCATTACTCCAGTTCTAGGGAACCCAAAGCCCTCTTCTGACCTCTGTGGGCACTGCACAACATAGGTGCACTTATACACATACAGGCAAAATACTCATATACATAAAATAAAAATAATAGAGTATAAAAAGGACCCAAACTACTGCTCTCTTACCCCCAAGTCCAGTTCTTGTTCACACATGCTAAGGAAACAAAAAATAATATAAGACAGAAAAAAATAAAAAAAAAAATAAGACAGAGACACAAAACAATAGCCCTTGGTGAGCTGTGATTACAAAATAGAGCACTAAACTCTCACTATCTCCTAGACAACTCTGATACACACAAGGCATCCTAAGAGCCACTGCTTAGAGGTTCCATCACAGTGCTGGGGACCATTTCTCATCAGCTCTGATCCTCACACATAATCAAGTCAGAGAAGTAAAGGAGTTTGCCTAACTTGGGTAGCTCCAAAGGAGAGAACTCGAACATACCACAAAGCACATGACACTTGCCTGCCTTACGCTGCATCACTGTAGGTCTAATTTGTCTTGCTTAGTGTTCTCAGGAGGAAGATCAAACAACAAGGAGAAAACTGTCCAGAGATAATTCCAGCCAATAGGAGTAACTAGATGTTGATATGATTTTATAGGCTTACTTATTCCATTTTCCACATCTGTCTTTAGCTCCTTCCCACTGTCTGGTACAGCCCTAAGCATATCATAAGCTTGAGATGAATATTTCTTGACTGGTAAGCAATTGCATCATAAGGACACAGAGAAAACAACCACATCAAGCTATTGTGGTGGGTCACATGGTGGAGAAGAGCACAGCCTATGGAGAGGCCATGCATTCAAAATTAGGTGGCCCTTAAAAGCTATTACATATCTTCTCTTTATCGTGTGATCCTATGAGTTAATCGAGAAAAACATTTACAAGGTTAGCTGTTAGCTGTAACCTGAAGTGAAGCTGACTAAGTAGCAGACTATCGAACCTGTGTTTCATATTTTATTAGAAAAACATCAGGAAGCTTAGAACTAAGGTCGGTGTGATCCAATGGCTGGAGACTGCTGGCCATGTTCCACTGTAGTCTACAAAACACACATCAGTTTGTCACGCCATGAAAAATTTGTGTCCTAAAAACAAAATATTTTGTACATCTACAGCAGATAAGTAAATGGACCTGTGAAAACATCAAAAAGAATTGAGTGCTTACTAAATATCAGTGTGGATTTGTGATGGATGAAAATTTTGACTTGGTTAAAATCTTAAGGGCAACAGTTACCTGCCCCTAACAAAGCCTACTGTGCAGTGTTTCTTGAGGTGACTTAATCACTGCTAGATTTCCAAGAAAGCATTTGGAAAGTCTGAGGTAGAGGACAGAAGAATGGACAGAAGAATGGCTTGGAGCATGGGCTTCGGAGTCAGACTGAGTCCGCATTCTGTCTCTTGGAACTGGGCCTTAGTCAAATGTGGATAGTGATTGCAGTAGCCTAGTATGGTTTGGAGACCCTCTGGGGGTTCAGACAGTGAAGAAGAACATAGTGGATGGTCAAGGACAGACCCAGCTGTTCACCTCCAACCACCCCAAGTCTCAAACTAGGTGAAGATTAGAAGTTGACAAGCACTGCAGGCTGAGATAGAAATGGCGGGTCATCAGCGGAGATCTGAGCACCCCTTGCTTCCTCCTCTCTTCCTGCAGGCGCTTTTGTGGTGTGCTGGACCCCAGGCCTGGTGGTGCTGCTGTTGGACGGCCTAAACTGCACGCAGTGTGGCGTGCAGCACGTGAAGCGCTGGTTCTTGCTGCTGGCGCTGCTCAATTCTGTCATGAACCCCGTCATCTACTCCTACAAGGACGAGGAAATGTACAGCACCATGAAGAAGATGATCTTTTGCTCCTCACACAACAGCCCAGAGAGGCGCCCTTCCTGCATCCCCTCCACGGTCCAGAACAGGAGCGACACGGGCAGCCAGTACGTGGAGGACAGCATCAGCCAGGGCACAGTGTGCAACAAAAATAGCTCCTAAGGCAATGATGCCTCTGCCCGCTACCCTGGGGAAAGAGCCATTAAACAGCCTTGCCTGGGCAGTGCTGTTTGAGGTCTTCGTGATTTGTTTCTAAAGTTGTCGTTGTCAGGGTAAAGAACATACTGCATTTAGTGAAAGTGCATATAAAGAGGCACACAGCAGAGGATTCCTGCTTGTCTGTGACCTCCTCAGAGCACCCTCCAGTCCTTGGAGTCCTGGATGGGCTCTCCCGCAGTCTTGCAGCCGTACTCCTTGTGTTTTCAAAGATGGAGTTAAAGGGCCTCCCTAGGTCAAAATAAATAAGTAACGGTACTTGAGCCACCTCGTGTAGCTGCTAGAAAAATCCGTGTAGTTGATTCTGTGTGCCTTTAAAATGTTCAGAAATGCTTCAGCAGGGAGTTTTGGGTTCTTTTTCCCCCCTCAAAGAAACCATGGCCAGTAGGGAGATGTACAGCAAGAATTTGAGAAAACCCAGTAAGTTTCCAGAATAAACTTGATTTTTAGCTGGAAGAACATTATGAGGAAATATATTTATTTAAAATAATATGAAAAAGAAAAAGTTGAAAAGTTCTTCTGAAGTGAAAACTCTTTCCACAATCCTCGAAGCACGCAGGCGGTTAGGCTCACATCTACTTAGGACATCTACGTTTAGAGTCCGCAGACAACATGGTAAACTTCATCCATCCACACTTTCCAGTCCAGGGTGGTGACTTTAGAAGTCGTCTTTTGTGCTCTAAACAAAAACAGGAAAGGGCGGTGCACTTTAAAACAGGCACTTTTTTATAACAGAGTAAAGGGCAGTATTAACAAGGAGGCTTAGTTTCTTCCAAAGAGACTCAAACAGGAGCATGACCGCAGTCCTTTTTCTTGATTATCTGCATACAACTGGTGGTTTGCTGGACTTCATTTAAAAAATAATTTCACCTCTCTGTCTCTCTCTCTGTCTCTCTCTCTCTCTGTCTCTCTGTCTCTCTCTCTCTCTCTCTCTCTCTCTCTCTTTGGTCTTTTTGAAACAGGGTCTCCTTGCAACCCCCAGCTGACCTGGAACTTACTATGTAGACCAGGCTGGCCTCGATCTTTGATCTGTTTGCCTCTGCCTCCAGAGTGCTGGGATTAAACACCTGTGCTACCGCGGCTGGTTACACATCTCATATTTTAACCAAGGTTCTCTGCATACTCTGGTACTTGTCTTGGGACTCAATTTTGATCTTGAATTCTTCTCCTTCAAAGACCTAAGTAAGCAACATGAAAGACAGATCTGTTTAAAAAAATAATGCTTCATATACATCGGCTACTGATCAAAGTTTTCTATGTAAGACATTTAGAGTATATTCAGACCTAAACTAAAAATAACTTCAAGGAAGGTATACTATTTATGTAGTTTGCAAAATGTTTACATTTTTTTGCTGTTATATATAAACGTTTATGTGCACAAACTACTTGTAATAAAGGAATCTGAGAAGTTATGCTTTTAGATATAATGGCCTAAAATATAGTGTTATGATTTGAAGGCATAAATTTCACATGCTTTGTGCAATAGGTGGACGCTCCTGAAGTTTATGCCAAAGTTACCTATAAAATAAAATGTAAAAAGGATCTGTCCTGTCTTGGTGAGGTCTATTATTGTTTTATGTATTTTCTAAGTAAAAATATCGTTGGTGGTGTGTATGGCACACATTTCTATTACAGAACTAATTTTCCACGAAGCCCATACTGTCGCTTTTTTATGTAAGCATTCTGAATCTACAACTGACCAAAGGGTGGAGAATTGAATTCCAGTCCCTGAATAGCTACTAAGGGATCTTTAAAGGTTTTATTTTGAGACAAGAACTGTTTTTAGTACCCTGCAGCTGAGTGTCATATTCAGAATGGTGTTGAAGGAGACCCAAAATGTCGAAACACAGGGTGGAAATATATAGCTCTTGTTTTTATGCACACATGCGTCTTGGGAATGGCACAAGAATAGAGCATTCATGTATATTTGGAAATGACAATTGCCAGGGGCTACAGAGTTCACTGAGACCACTCTTTAAATCTAGCCCTTAGTAGGGGAAAATATAAATGCAAAGAAAGAATGTTCCTTTGAAATTCCAAGATCCGAAGCCTACAAGTCTTATCTACAAATGGCCAAACTAAACGTCTCACCCAGACCTTATCAGATCCATCTTTGACTCTAGCATGGGTCAAACAATATTCATCTTCTTAGACTGGTAGATGTTCTGATCAGTCTGTGTGGTTGGGAGAGATTAGTCTTTTATGAAGACTGCTGGCTTGGACAGAAGCAGTTTCTTAGAAATAAACTAGAAATTTCCTAGAAATTTCTTGATGAAAAATTTTTTTTTCAACTGAGTAGACTTGGAGCCAGTTTCTGACCTTTAGAAGCCCTAATCGTGGACACAATAATAGAGCTACTCTGACTAAATCTGTACAATTCCAAATAAAAGCAATACTAAGTCCTGGAGCATATGTAAGCCTTGCATATTCAGAGTTCCTGCATAACTAGCATTTTGCTGCTTTTTATAAATACTAAAAATCAGAATGTATCAGTTTGGATGCCCTGGCTTCCCCAGCACTCTGAGCACACACTCAGCTCATACTAAGATGGCCTGGGACAAAGAATCCAGCAAATGGGGCGTCCAGAGCAGATCTGTTGTAGGGAGTGCAGCTCTGTTGTGGGGGATGTAGCTCTGTTGCTGGGGTCGGTGGTGGGGGGTGGGGTGTTTTTTTTTGGGGGTGGGGGGGGGGGGGCGCTGTTCACTGCAGACCAGACACAGGGCTTGCCAAGCTCTGTAGATTAGTTTTCCTGAGGTTGAACATAGTTGTGCCTCCTACCTCATTAGCTGTCTAATTATTCAGTAATAAAACTGTGTGGTCCTCTATTCTAATTGGTGCAAAAGCATAATGAAGGCCAGCCCTGTGAAGGCACCATGAAGGGAACTGAGTGACAAATTCAAAACTCGTTAGAACCTGGAATAAAAATAGTCCTTGCATTATCCTACATCTCACCATGCATCTCACCATGTCCTAAAGAGAATTAATAACACACACAAGCAGAACTGACTTCTGGGAAGCTTTATCATAGACTCACATCTCTTTGTGGATTACTGAACGTGGTGTTAAATTGGAAAACCCCAAGTCTCCTTCCTATTTTACCCACTGTCTTTCAGGCATAGAAGCTGGAGTTAGAATTGCTTATAAAAATATTCTATTTATTATTTTTATTTTATGTGTATGAATGTATTGCTTGCATGTATGTAAGTGCACCCGTGTCATTCAATGCCCATGGATGACAGAAGCCGTCGGATCCCCTGGAACTGGAGTAACGGACAGTTGTTAGCTGCCATGTGGGTGCTGGAATTCGAACCTGGGTTTTCTGCAAGAACAGCCAGTGTTCTTAACCGCTGAGCCATCTCTCCAGCCCCTAAAGAGAATTTTTAAAGTCAGAGAAACTGCATTTCATGGGAGGGTTGCTCTCCTGAATGCATCACACAATTTATTCACAATTTAAGACTAGTTTCCATAGAGATAAATATTATCTGGCATGCTGTTGCTGTGGCTTTTGGGCCTTAATGATATAATTTATCTTCATACAATTTTCTCCAGCACACCTTTCTTAAATTCTTTAAATGTGCTCTTTCTTAAATTATCAGATGGTAGACTATTGATTATAGTTGTTAAGGGTTTGGAGTCTTTTATCATCTATAACTTCTAAGCTAAAGGTTTATAGTACAAACAGTAACACACAGGTGACTTGTGTGTGGAAGTTTTAGAGCATATAAATAAAGTGTGGATCTAACCACACATGTAACACAGTGACTGTGGATGAGAGATAATCTATGGACACTGTTGGCATTCACTGGTCCATTCAACCAGTTTTGGAGTTTGCAGATTTGTGGCTGTTTTTAAACAGTTGCAGTTTTATACAACAACACATTATAATACTTTTATATATCAGCAATTTCAATTCTGTACAATTCAAATTTCCATAAAATGCACCTTTACTCTATTTGCTGTTGAGATTAGAGCTTGCATATTATACAATAAGGTATATTGAATAAAAAGCTGAGGACTGTGCACCATAGTCCATGTTACGTCTTTGTACATATTAGGAAAAGATATCCATCACTTCCTGAAGTCACTTTCACACTTTTTTTCTATGTGTGTGATCACTCATGTGTGCAGAAGCACATGCACTTGTGTGTACATACATGTGGAGATCAGAGGTCAATCTCAGGTGCCATTCCTCAGGATACTGTCCACTTTGTGTTTTGAGGCAGGGCCTCTGGCTAATCCTGAGCTCAATGGTTTGGTTAGGCTGGCGACTGCAAGCCTCAAGGATCCTCTGGTCTCTGCCTCCTCCAGTGCTGGGATTGTAGTGAATTCCTTAAAAGTGCCAGCTTTTTAACATGGGTTCTAGGGATGAATTCAGACCCTTATGCTCGCACAGAAAGCATTTTACCAACTCAGCTACCCCCTCCAACCCAGCCCTTTGCAACATTTGATAACTTATCTCATACACTAACTTTGTTAGAATTTTACTATTATCTGGCCAGAAAGCTGTGCCCGTGTATATATGCTGATCCACACCGCGACAGGGAAATTTAGAGTTGGGAAGCTCACCACTTATGAAAATGCGTAAGACAGCCATGTTAGAGGAAACACTGCAATGAAATTCAGAACACTTGAGCTCTGATTTCTATTCTGCTCCACAGTGTCTAAAAACTCTAGATTGATCGCTAGTCTTCTGTATGAGAGGCGCACATGATCTGTGAGGACCATCTCAGCTGCAAAATTCTGATTCTGAGCATCTTTCTCCAGATGTGAGTGCTGGAAAGAGCCCTAAATCTTTGGACTCTGTAAACTGTACTCCTTGTAAGGGTCTTCAAAGAGAAGAAAATCTGTTTTCAATTATTACGGTGGTTCTGAAATTTCAGTGTACCTAACAATTACCTGGAGAAACTGCCTAAAAATCCAAAACCTGTTTCAAGTAGTCTGAAATATATAACCATAAATTTGTCATGAATATAAGGTAGAAAGTGTTTCTAAAATAAGGTGGA